GAGCTGTTATAATGACCCATACTTTTAGCAATTTTCAGAATGTTTCGCCCAGTGTATTATGAGGGGCTCACCTAAATTCAATAACAATAACATCACCATTTTTGGGCTTATTTGTTGAAAGCATTTCACGCTATTATCATCATGTATTTATATTAACATGAAGAATCAATTGCAATATGATACAACGCTGATTTTACCCAAGTTAATTTTCTTTATAAATGTAAAATAATTTGGGGAATCCACTAACAGTTTGGGGGTTCTCTAAAGCTACCGTTATTATCCCACTGAAGTTCGAGGGGGATATATGAAAGCTGTCCGTCCGTCCGTTTGTCCGAGCGATATCTCAAATACCAATTGACGGATTTGATTCAAATTTCATAGGCTTATGCCTTCTGGCGATATGACCTCTGCTCGAGAAGAGTTATCTTTAAAGTATGGTGACATGATACTACAATGATCTAAAATATTTATTGAAGGTAAGAGTAGATGGTCAATATTACATTGTGACTGTACAGATTGATGATTTATATAGTTTGTTGGGATTTGCTACTCTAGTTCAAAATGGTCACCATTTTTCGTAAAAAATGTAATCTTTGATTACTCAAATACAAGTTGATGGATTTGCTTCAAATTTTACATGCTGATGCCTAGGGAGAACGAGCTACCCTGAAGAAGAGATTTTCAAAATGGCTGCTAAATATCAAAATGGTGGCCATTTTAAAAAAAAAATCTAATCTTTGACAACTCAAATACCAGTGAATGGATACAAGTAGATCATAGTAGAATTGTTCAAGAGAAAATTTTCAAGATGGCGGCTGAATTCAAAATGGCCACCTTTTTTCATAAAAAAATGTTATCTTTGATAACTCAAATATTAGTTTACGGATTTGGTTCAAATTTCATATGCTGATGCCTCTAAGGAGCTACCCTAAAGAAGAGATTTTCAAAATGGCTCCTAAATATCAAAATGGTGGCCATTTTTAGTAAAAATGTAATCTTTTATAACTCAAATACCAGTGAATGGACTTGGTTCAAATTTTATATGCTGATACTTAAGGACAAAGGAACTTCCCTGAAGAAGATATTTTCAAAATAGCTACTAAATATCAAAATGGCGGTCATTTTTCATAAAAACGTAATCTTTGATAACTCAGATACCAGTGAACCGATTTGGTTCAAATTTTATATGATGATGCCTAAGGAAAAAGTAGATTTGTTCAAGAAAGAATTTTCAAGATGGTGGCTGAATTTCAAAATGACCTCCATTTTTCATAAAAAAACGTAGTCTTTGATAACTCAAATACTAGTTGAAGGATTTGGTTCAAATTTTATAAGCTTATGCCTTATGGTGATAGGACCTCTGCTCAAGAAGGAATTTTCAATATGGCTACTTAATCCACCACTTTTTGTAAAAAAAACTAATCTTTGATAACTCAAATACTTGTTGAAGGATTGGGTTCAAATTGTATATGCTGTTGCCTGGGTACAAAGGACCCTTGCTCAAGAAGACATTTTCAAGATGGCCACCATATTTCAAAATGGCGGCCATTTTTCGTAAAGAAATGTTATCTTTGATAACTCAAATCAAATACCGGTTGACAGATTTCATTCAAATTTTATAGGCTTATGCCTTATGGGTGTAGGACTTCTGCTCGAGAAAGAATTTTCAATATGGCCACTTAAGTCAAAATGGCGTCCATTTTTCGGTAAAAATACAATCTTTGATAACTATAATACTAGTGGATGGATTTGTTTAAACTTTATATGCTGTTGTCTGGGTACAAAGGAGCCCTGCTCAAGAAGACATTTTCAAGATGGCCACCATATTTCAAAATGGCGGCTATTTTTCATAAAAAACTTTATCTTTGATAAAGGCAGCCATTTTTCGTAAAAAATGTTATCTTTGATAACTCAAATACCATTTAATGGATTTGGTTCAAATTTTACATGCTGATGCCTACGGACATAGGAGCTCTGCTCGAGAAGGTATTTTCAAGATGGCAGCTAAAGTTCAAAATGGCCACCATTTTTCATAACAGAACCTAACTCAAATACCAGTTTACGGATTTGGTTCAAATTCTATATGCTGATGCCTAGAGACAAAGAAGTTCTGCTCAAGAAGACATTTTCAAAGCGGCCGCCATTTTTGTAAAAAAACGTAATCATTGATAACTCAAATACCAGTTGATGGATTTGGTTCCAATTTCATATGCTGATGTAGGGAAAAAGGAGATCTGCTGCAGAAAAATTTTTGAAGGCTCAGCTGAATTTCAAAATGAAAAAATGGTAATCTTTGATAACTCAAATACCAATGGATGGATTTACTTCAAATTTTATATACTGATGCCTAGAGAAAAAGGTGCTCTGCTTGAGGAGAAATTTTTAAGGTGGCTGCTATTTATCGAAATCTCCGCCATTTTTCATTAAACATGTAATCCTTGATAACTCAAGTACCAGTTGACGGATTTTGATTACACTGTATATGCTGATGGGGACATAAGAGCTCTGCTAAAGAAGAAATCTAAAGATGACAGCTGAATTTCAAAATGGCAACCATGTTTCATAAAAACATAATCTTTGATAATTCAAATGCCAGTGGATGGATTTGGCTCAAATTTCATATGGCCGCTATTTATCAAAACATGTTTTGTTTGGTGGGATTTGCTACTCCGTGGAGTTGCTGTTTCCTATTTATAATTTAGCAAACAATAAAAATGATCTACCCATTTGGAACTACAATGCATTTATTAGGAGAATCTACTGAAGAATTTTGGGTGACACATATTTCAATTTTAGAATGAAAAAAATAAAATAATATCCGCTGAACTTTTTTTGTTTTCTTATGAATCATTCTATGTTGCCTAGAGAGAAACAGTTTGATAACTACAGTACTTTATTATTTTCTCCGTAGAGGTCATAATACAATAGATATTTCTATCCACATCTAAACATGTTTGTTAGCCTATAGGGGGTTTAAGCCAACAGTATTGCACTGTCTTATCTAAAGCACACTTACCAATATCTGTCTCACTACCTTTTATCACTATTGTCTCTATGTGACAGAAATATGTCCTTAGTTTATCAATTACTTTATTGTATCTTGTTCAGTATATATATCTTATGGATGTACAACTAGGTCATACAATAATATAAGTTGAATAGAGTGGGAAAAGATGGATTTTAGCACATGCAAACAAAATTTATGCAAAACAATTTCCTGGCTTGTTAGACTTGTTTTCCTTCAAAGCACAATGCATGGACTGCATACATAAAGAAATACAGTGTACGAGGGTTGTCCCAGAAGTAATGCACTATATGTTCTAACTTTATCAATAATTGATATTTTCCCAGGAAATTTTCAGTAAATGTTCCTTAGAGACATTTTGATTATTCTAAGAATTTTCATGTTGACTGATAAAACTATATTGATGTTATAATAAAATCAAGTTGGTGAGTTTGGGTAGGGCGGGGCAGGTTATACAGTCACGTCAAAAGGAATAAAAAATTGAAAATATAAAATAATTAATCAACAAATACCATTTGGTGTAGCTATAAGAAGTATGCTCAAAAATACATTTTAAGGTACTAAATTACTATGAGCACATCCTAGATTTAATGGATGTAGTGTCCCATTTCACATTTTCTCAAAATATTGCCCTTTGCATGTTATGTACTTTTGATGCCTGTCAGGTCAAACACTCTCAGCAATTTCTTCCACTGTGACTTGTGGAGTTTTTGCCTCCCATGTTTGGAGTTGTCATACAGGGTCAAATCGTCTCTTTTAAATCTCTTCTGCCACCCTATAATTGTAGTTCTATCTGGTATATACTCCTTATATTCTTTCTTTATGGTAGCATTGTTTTGCGTGGCTGTGAGTCCAAGTGAAGTATGAAATTATGCCACCAAACGCAAGGCCTTCTGTTATCAGGTGAGAATTGCAGCCATTTTTGCAATTTCTTGACTGTGACTGTATTTGAATTCGTGACTATTGAAATGTGGTGTTATGACATCACAGTGCTAAATGTCATTATTTGTACTTGGTTAACATCATGCTGAATAAATTTAACAATTTCCCAAACATTTTGACCATTTAAAGGAAAGAAATATTAATAAAATAACACTTTAGATCTTTTCATAATTAGAAAAATTGGTACCTGCCCCGCCTACCCCTACCCCCATGTTGTTACAGCAACCATATTAAGACTTAATATTAATATTTGATGCTGAAACTTCAGGATATAATAGATAAAACTTCAATTGTCATATACACAAAATTTCAGCTGAATTGAAGAATATTAAAGAAAGTTAGAGCATATAGTGCATTACTTCTGGGACAACCCTCGTAGACTCATTCTTAATTTTGTCCTGTAATCTATGATTTCTTTCATGTTAATAAATCATAAAAGAGCTGACACAATAAAGTATGTACATGTATGATCATTATTAGAATAGTGTCATCCAGTGTGCTTTAGCAGCTGAGAGGGTGAACAACCACCAGCCCTGAATGTAACAGCAAACATATAAATCCAATTTTTACAATAAGAGCAAATATAAGATTCATGAACTTAAAGTTTTTAGAAAATAACTGCAGTGATCTTTTCTGAACTAATTCTAAATGTGCTTTGAGGACATAAATATTTGGAGCCTTTGCCACATAAATAATAACCAAACAGCGCCAGTGAACAATTTGATAAATTTGTCTCTGTTATTGTTACATTTCCCTATTTCTATTTCAATGAATACAAATATGACAAATTAAGTGATTAACTCAACTTACAATCTATATATATTTACTAAATCATTTGTCAATTCAATAGTTCCTTTGGTCTCATTGTTCACTAATTTTCAGTGAGGCATCTAACTTTAACACATAAAAGTATTGATTGTGTTTACATCTTAGATGTTGATTGAGTTTGATTGTGTCTTGCCAACAAGCAAGCACTTTGAATTTCTGCAATTATTTTTTGATTGTTTTTGATTGTTTTATTTTCTACTTTCAGCTACTATTGATTGTGTTTGCTCAACTGATGACTGTCGCCATGACAACCAGTCCATGTGTATGGCAGAATACATGTGCTATGTACAGTACACACCAAACCTTGAGGACCATGGTAGCACCCCAAAAGAACCAGTCATGAGGGGGTGCATCAATACACGCACCCCCCTGCTGTGTGAGAACAGGCGTCCCAGACACGATGGTCCATGGCCTGTATTGCTATGTTGTAGTGATGACCTGTGTAATAGAGATGTCTTACCGACAATACCTACATGGTTACAAAAAATAAAAAGTAAGTAAGTGTACCTGTTTATGACAAAATAATTGAACAGCCAATATTATAAGTTTAAATTGCCCTAGGGGTATCTGGTTGACCAGAGACAGGATTGACATTAAAAAGCAACTTCGCACATTTTAATGTTCAATGGAACATGGAATTAAAGTCGGAAGTAATAGTCACATGGAGAATTATTTTCTAGTTTATATTGCTGAACAGAATTGTTTCTAATTCTTGAGGGACAAAACTACTATGACCCATTTGATTTTGATGGTTTGCCTCTTGACTTTGTAGAAATTCGACTGTTGTTCATATTTGATAAAGCATACTTTACGTCATTCATTAAATCGGCTGAATAATTTTTGGTTTGAAGGGGAGCATCCTCAATTGATTTTTTGATAGACACCAGATTATATTTGAACAAATATTCCCTGGAATTATTTCAATGTATTCCACTGGGAATGAAAGCGCATTGGAAAATAATAAGCTAGAAATGACAGAAAACCTTTCAAAAAATTTCTTTTTTTTGCAATTCAGATGTCAACATTAATCTGGATACTGAAGCTTAAAACACTATTTTGAAAGTAATTTTCACTGGTTGCACACTCACTTTATTTATTTTTGATGTCATTTAATTTTGATATTATATCACCATTATGACTGTTATTGTAAATAATGCAAGGGGATATTGCTGATCTATATGATAGATTAGTCTTGTTCCAAATGGCTAATTCTGCTACCAAAATGTCACATGGAAAACCTATCTATTGACAGACTTCAAAGTACTCATATCAAACCAAATTGTTGATTAAGAATTTCAGTTTGAAGAAATTAAGTTCAAACATATTACATTACATTCTATGTAAATCCTTTAGCTCCATTATAAGTCAGATGTCAAAGGAAGCAACTATTAAGACCAAAGGGAGTTAGAACCAATTTTACTTTTCCCTAATATAAAGTAAAGTTAGCATTGCATCAATGGTAAAATGGTTGAGTTAACCCTATCGTGATAAATTGATGGAAACATTTCATTGTTGAATTACAAAAGCCTAAATTTGCAAATTAATACAAAACAAAGGCAATCATTATTCTGTGAATGAGACATATAGTCTACCATAGAAAATCAAGTGTCGCAGCTCTTACAAATCATGTATCATTTTTCCACATTTATGCATTATCATGATTCCAGAAAAATAATGAGATATTTTGTCTTGTATATTTACCTATCACAGTATTAATTTCTCGCTTGAGTGTTGTATTTCACAAAGGCAAATGACACAATTATGAAATTTGTTGTGAGCCTCCAACATTGATCCTCTCAAAGATTAGTCATTTTTTGTCGCCAATAGATCGAGTTGATTGTTATGCATAGACAATTGTTTCAGTATTAATAGAGACTGTTTGCATATGCTACCTTGGCTTTCAGTTAGTGCCGTTCATATGAGAATACGGTGACTATGACACTTTGGAGTCCATCTCTGAACATTTAATGTCAATTAGGACATACAGTTTGGCACAATTTCAGTTATATTTTATGACAATTCATGCATTTGATAGGGCTCCCAATTTACTTCAGGAAAAAAATCAGATGACTATCAAATAAGGCGAATCATCCATCTAAATTAAATGCTTTGTTCGTTTGATTAGAAGAAGCTACATAAATTCTGTGCTTGTAACTCAGTAGGTTGAATGAAGTCGTATTATCAAGTGGTTTTGAATGGGATTACAATTGTGCATTGTATCAGCGAGGAAGATAAATTCATTGTACAGTAAAACCTGTCTTAGGGAACACCTCTCTCTAGTGAACCCAATGTCTCTAGTAGACACCCCAGATAGCACAAAGACGTCTGGCCAACGTCGCTATTGGTGGCCATTGGTTGGCATGGTCGCAGTTGGCAAATTGTAGTTGGGCCAACGTTGGCCCGTCATTGGCTGCCGCTAATACCAGGGAGCCAACAATGGCTTTACAAAAAAGTAAATTGTGTCAACAGTGGGCCAACAATGGGCCAACGTTGGTTCTTTGGTGGCTGCCAATGTTGGACCAACGTTGGCTGGCTGGACATGCCAACGTTGGGCCAACGTTGGCAGCCACTGTTGGCCCACTGGCCGGCATGCTGTTGGACCAACGTTGGCCCAACGTCGTTGTGCTATCTGGTACCCTTCCTCCACTCATACTTTACTGACTTCTCTATAGATTACCCTCTCTGTAGTGAACAAAGAAATGCTCAATATACACAGGTTTTACTATTTAAATCTGTAGTTAAGAAAAACATAGGAAGCAAACCCCTAAAAACTTAAAGCAATGGTAATTATGTTAATGAGTTGTAAAATGTTTTCTGTTGCAGATGGAAAGAACCATACAAATACAGACCTTGGCGATTCAGTTGTGAAAGACACTCCCCATGATGCCTCAGGAAAGCATTATATTATAAACTCAGAAGACATTGGTGCTGATATTCCAAAAGCTCGTAACATGACAATTAACCCAATATATGTTGCAGTGCCGATCGCAGGCACATGTGTGCTCTTAGCACTTATTATATTTGGCATTTACATCTTAAAAAGACGGCATATACAATATGAAAACTGTTACTATGACACTGGAGAACATCAACAACAAAGTAGTGTAATACCCAAAGAACAATTTTATCAACAAAATGGGCATCTATTAAAACAAAATGGACATCTGCCTAAACAAAATGGACATCTGTTGATACAGAATGGACAGCCACCACCGCCTTCAATAGTGAGAACTTCTAGTAAATCTCCGACCTACTCAGATACTGAGAGATCTTCTTCAGGGAGCGAAAGTAAATTATTAATGAAAGTGTAAACTATTGTTTTAGCTAGATGTTTAATATACAATCACATCTCTGATTGATACAGGGTAGTACAGAAAGTATGAAGAATTCAAAGTAATCTATGGATTTTTTCTGTGTCACTCTGTATCTGAACATACCTTTATCTTAATTTTCTCAGGGGTTCTTGACAATATTTTCAATCTTGCCTTTATCCAATTGGATAAGTCAGAGAATCAGGACATTGCATTCTCTGCCTTTAACTACAAAGAGTCACGAAAGTTAATTTTTTTACATAATCACTCATAAGATCTTCTCAGCATCAAAACTGTAAAATAAATCTTTAGTTGTATTCAGAGTGAAGTGTGGTGATCAGATGAAGATTCAGGGTGTTTCTCTATATGTATGTATATGGACTATATGGTGCAGTGCACCTATGCTGATACTGATGTATCTTGATGCTAAAAGTTTAAATGCAATGATGTACAATCATATATGTATTGTTATTTAGATGTAAATGTAAATATGAGTTGTTTTATATATACACTGGTTGAACAAAGAATATCAGTTCCCCCAGATTATAGTCATTTAGAAACAAGAATGGTCAATTTGTAACTTGGTGGACATTTATGGTCATTTAGAAACAAGGTCATTTATCCATACCCTGTTTATTCTCCTTTGCCCTGTTTTATAACCTGTATCCCATTTCCTTATCTGTATTCTGTTTTCTCTCTTTTGCCCTGATTTCTCACCTGTACCCCATTTCCTCATCCGTATTCTGTTTTCTCTCATTTACCCTGTTTTATCACCTGTACCCCATTTCCTCATCCGTATTCTGTTTTCTCTCCTTTGCCCTGTTTTCTCACCTGTACCGCATTTCCTCATCCATATTCTGTTTTCTCTCCTTTGCCCCGTTTTCTCACCTGTACCCCATTTCCTCATCCGTATTCTGTTTTCTCTCCTTTGCCCTGTTTTCTCACCTGTACCCCATTTTCTCATCCGTTTTCTGTTTTCTCTCCTTGCCCTGTTTTCTCTCCTGTATCCCATTTCCTCATCCATATTCTGTTTTCTCTCCTTTTTCCTGTTTTCTCACCTGTACCCCATTTCCTCATCCGTATTCTGTTTTCTCTCATTTACCCTGTTTTATCACCTGTACCCCATTTCCTCATTCGTATTCTGTTTTCTCTCCTTTGCCCTGTTTTCTCACCTGTACCCCATTTCCTCACCCATTTTCTGTTTTCTCTCCTTTGCCCTGTTTTCTCACCTGTACCCCATTTCCTCATCCATATTCTGTTTTCTCTCATTTGCCCTGTTTTATCACCTGTACCCCATTTCCTCATCCATATTCTGTTTTCTCTCCTTTGCCCTGTTTTCTCACCTGTACCCCATTTCCTCATCCATATTCTGTTTTCTCTCCTTTGCCCTGTTTTCTCATCCATACCCTATTTCCTCATCCATTTCTTGAATTCTCCTCTTTGCCCTGTTTTCTCACCTATACTCCATTTTTTCATCCATATTCACCTGTACCCTGCCACATAGCTTGATCTAGAATCCAGAGTTTTGGATAACCAGTGCAGATATAACGCACCACACCTGTATATGTAAATGAAATCGTGATTTGTGATTGATATATTCATCATCATATTGTAAAATTGTGATATAATGTATAAAAACCTAGTCCTGTAATAATACATGTACATCCATTCATCAAAACGAGAAGAAACAGTTTCTTCCTTCATCAATTAGTCTTTTAACATTTTTGTAGACAAAAGTATTAACAAAATTTCAATATAAAAATCAAAAAATTAGCTCTGTACTTTTAGGTCCAAGAAAAATATTTTCTTTGGTCTCCAGACCATCCAGACTTACATTTTTCTACGATACACTTTTTTTAAAAATTGACTCACCCTATACAGACTGTGCTATACGAAAACAAGCAGTGCAGATATCGTACGTGCATATGTTGCGGGCATTAATGGTCATTTTTATTGCACCCAAATATCAGGGATGTATCTACCTATGAAAGTTTAGAACTGATTAGTTTTTCTGCATTCTGGGTAAATGTTAAGGCACCCATTTTGGATTTTCCAAACAAAAATCTTGTCTGTCAAGGGGTGTCTACAGGATTCCAGCCAGACTATTTCATGGATTCATCTGAAATTTTCAGGGATGTTTCTACGTATGAAGCTAAGAACTAATTAGGTTTTGGGCATTCTGGGTAAATGTTAAAGTGGTCATTTTGGATTTTCCAACATTAAAATCTTGTCTGTCAAGGTTTGTCTACAGGTTTCCAGCTAAACCGTTGTCTGCAGGTTTCCAGCCAAACCGTTTCATGGATTCATCTTAAATGTTCAGGGATGTTTCTACGTATGAAAGTTTAGAACTAAAAAGTTTTTGGGCATTCTGGGTAAATGCTTAGGCAGCCATTTTGTATTTTCTGTTCTAAAGTATTGTCTGTCGAGGCTTGTCTACAGGTTCCCGTTTCATGGATTCATCGAACATTTTCAGGGATGTTTCTACGTATGACAGTTTAGAACTAAACAGTTTTTTGGGCATTCTGCTAAGGCAGCCATTTTGGATTTTCCATCCTAAAGTCTCGTCTTTCGAGGCTTATCTACAGATCTCCAGCCAAACCGTTTTGTGGATTCATCTGAAAATTTTAGGGATATTTCTACATTTGAAAGTTTAGAACTGATGACAACCTTCATGCTGTACCCACCATGCCTTTGTTTGTGAAATATCACAAATTTAAATTCAAAAATGACCATTAATATCCGCACTGTGCACACATGATATCTGCACCACTTTTTTGTAAAGAACAGTGTGCATAGGGTATGTGAGTCATTAAAGACCAGAAATGAGGTTATCTTCCTGACTTTGGTAATTACTTCAAAACCCTTAGACTAGTTATTTGTTGTTCAGAAATTTGCTTTTTGTGCAAAAACATGATCTTTATTAATTCATCACTGTGCTAAAATCAAATTCATGGAAAAAATGACAATAGTAAATTGTCAGTATCTATATTAAATTTTCTTAATTGACCTAATCATGATAGATATTTCTTCTTATTCCACGTATACAATACATGTCTTGAAATTTAAAATTTGCCAAATGATTAATATGAAACTATGTATTAAGCTGTATTTCCTATCTTGTGTTGCATGTATTTATTGTGCATAGATGTGTACATTGTAAATATATATATATGTGTCATCAGACAATTATATTTATATACTGTACATAATTGTATATAAGAACAAGTGATGTCCTAATAATATGATTTTATACAAATAAGTACTGTACAATAAATGTATTATAAAGATGCCAAGAAGTTCCATAAATGCATTATAAAAATACAAATAAGCACCTTTAATGTATTATAAAACTTCAATGTTAATGCCAAAAAGTGGTTATTGTAATACATTGCATTTCTGCTCCATGCAATGTATGTGTATGGAATACATGTTGGTGTTGCTTTATAATATATGGCACTCACCTATTGCAATATACATGGATTAAAAAGAAATGAAAAGTATTATTGCAGAATCAAAATCTATAAGACAACTATACATATGTATCCATCTGATAATAAATTAACAAAATGAATAATATATGAATTAATGTTATGTTAGGCTTACACAAGGCAAACACAGTGATGTGGATGAATTGACTGTTGACACTCTCTTATCCATTGGACTTCATTTTTAAAACTGTTTGACTGAATTTATCATCAGTATTTTTGATATTTTGTATAAATATGATTGAATGATTCATCATTTTGTTTCACTGATGTAGGTTATGTCTCCATTAACTTGTCATTGGAAAAACTAAAACAGAATTATGATTTTAAGAACATGTCCTTGTCAAGTTGTATTTATTGGCTGAGTGAATGCAACAACAGTTTCTGTAGGGGTCTGTCTGGGTCGAAATCCTATTACATCATATGATGTCTAATTTCACATTATCATGAGTATTATTTAAGATTTTCATGTTTTGATTTAAGCGTTTTTGTCACATCACATTCCTTGTAAAACATTGATCCATGCACTGTCATGATTGTAGTGAGAAGTTCAATTCACAATGAAAGGGGTTGCTCCATGTGCTAGCAGTTGGTTTTAATTTTGATTTGAGATGAGATATATTTACAGTTGCCAATTATTCAATATGTTTTATTTCCATCCCTATGTATTATGCTGCCATCTTTTAATATATATCATTAATATTAAATGGTTGAACTAAGGCTTTTTAGTCATACGCTATCTTTCAATCAAAATGGGAAGTTCTAGACATTTTTCAGGAGCATTTATGTTCAGAAGTTATAATATGCAAATATGATATGGTAGACACAATATACCATCCTGGAATCCCCAAATCTTTGAATTTGAAAAATTATTCGAAGCTTGGAAAAAAGTAAAGATTAAAAATGGTAGTTTAGGATTAGTAGACATTGAAACAAAAATTAAGTCAGTAAAAGCAAGTTGGGTAAAAAGAATACTGGATGATGACACTTCATGGATTGATATTCCTAAATATTATATTAAACAGTAATAAGGCTTTCAGACAAATGATTTCCTAAAAACAAATTTTACCAATGATATAAATCTACCAATGCCAGTTTTTATAGAGAAATTTTTATGGCTTTTAATAAATGTAAAATAAGAAATGATCAAAATTTATTGGGAGAAATATTCTGGCTTAATAATTCTTTTAAAATTAAAAATGAAATTGTACACAACATGAGTTGGATAAGTAGTGGGTTTATATATGTGAAGGATTTCTATGATAAAAATGGTACTTTCCACAATGAAAACTATATAAAAACAAGCTAATAAATAAAAGAAATTGGATGATAGAATACATCACTATAAAAGCCTGTGTAACAAAGGTCCTGAAAGAATATGAAATTTTCTAAATTTTTTCCTCAATTACAATAAGTCGAAAATTGATGATAAATTTGATGAATTTTTGAAAATCGACATTCCCATGTTAACCAATGGGAAATGGTAGGTTTGCCGCAAGTCATATGACAGAATATCCATCCATCCGAGTCCTTGCAAAAAGAACGAGTTAGGCAGGCAACTGAATTTGCTAACTTTATTTAACAAAAAATTGATATGTTTCTTCAGGTTCAACAAAGTTATAGGGCTTTAAAGACTCTCGCAATCTTTATCCAATCAGCGTTTGCGATGTGC